GAGCCTGCTTCCCCCCCCCCCACACACACACTCCACCCTGCCCCACTTCCATGGGCCCCAGGCCAAGGCTTGCTCGCTGCCTATTGCGGACAGCATTAGCTTGCAAATATCTGTCTCTGGAGTCGATTTCCTGCACGTGGGAGCTGATTAGAGCAGAGCAGAGTGTGAAATCCTGCCGGCCCCTCGCCTGGGCCACGTTGAGAGCCATGCTCTGCCTGTGGGCTCTCGGAGCGGGGCCTGGCCCTAGGCTCCCAGATCCCGGGGGCAAGGGAAATGCTGGGCCACCCCATGCCCCATCATGGGAGCCAGGCAGACGAACCTGGTGCTGGCTCGTGAGAGCTTGGATCTGAGGTCTGCCACCCGGCATCTCTCGCAGGGTCCACAGCTGCCATTTCGGCTGCCCCAGTTCTCTGGCCTGGCTTTACCCGGGTGCAGCTAAGGAGGGTCTGGGAAGATGAGGGGTCCAGCTGGTGGCAAGCTCAGGCCAGGCATTAGCTGGCAGATGACACAGAGATTTCCCCAGGCCTGCACTGCACGGGGGAAGAGGACAAGGGCTTTCTGGAAAGCTGCCTGCCTTGCACAGCCAAAGCAGGCGAATTGGTTTCTGGAGCCGGAGGCACACGGAGGTGGAGTCAGAGCCACCCCACGGACAAAACGAGCTCTGAGAGAGCCTCCTGGCGGCCCAGCAGAGATCCGGGGGCTGGGGAAGGCCGTGGCTGCCGGTGACGAGAAGTTGATTTACATCATAATTTGAAAAAAGTGTTTTTTCCCGTCACCGCAGCACCAGGTTTTGCTCAGCCTGCCAAACACGAATCCGCACCCATCTGCAATGTGCTCTCTGCACAGCCCCCGTCACGCACCCAGCTGCTTCAGAAACCACACTCACGACACGACTGAAATGCAGCCACCTCTGGGGAGAAGACTGGCAGACAGCACCTTGTACGACACTGTGGGGGCGCCAGGGCGTTTTGGCTCAGGGGCTTATGCAGGAGGCCCTGGGCTCTCTCTCTGGTGTCCACATGGAGCAGGCAGAATCTCACTTCTCAGGGCTGGCGTTTTGCTGTGCCCGGCACGTGCTGTCGGCGCAGGGCAAGCCTGAGCTTCTAGGCAAGGTTGGGCGCTGCAGCACCCTACTTGCAGGCTCTGGTCGGGGAGGGGCTGCTCTCTGCCAGCCAAGGGCATAGGCTGAGCGTGCTGGAGGCAGGACAGAGCCGTCTGACCCGAACAGCCTACGTGCTGTGCCTGTTCTGGGAGTGGTTTGGCACCTGCCTTCTGCACCCTGGCGCTGTCTGTACTGCAGTGGGGCTGGTGCAAGGCAGGTTAACCCCCCCCCCCCGGTGCGGTTGTCTAT